AGAGAGAGAGAGAGAGAGAGAGAGAGAGAGAGAGAGAGAGAGAGTGATGAAGGGGGAGGGGAGGAACAGAGAAGGAGAATGGCGGGCGCAAGGGTGGCAGCGCGGATGCGCGTGTACGGCAACGAGGAAGACGGCAGGTCGACGCGGGGAGGGTGGCGCAGCAGCGGCGGGAAGGAAACGATGGTGCGAGAGTGAGAGGAAGACAAGTGAACGAGGGGACAGGGCAGAGGTGCCGGCAGGCAGGATGTCGCGGGGGTGGCTGGCACCCTCGCACCGACCACCAACGGAGCCTGTCCCGCCACGGATGGCGCCACGATCGCCGGCATCCTCTCCGTGTAATGTGACTGCCGTCGACCTCTTCGAACGTGCTACCGATACTCTGCGCAGAATCGGCTTGCGGAGGTGTGTTGTACCACAATGTTATCGGGCTTGTTGTTTTATCTCGTGTCCCGATTGTTGTTGATTCCGTCGAATTGGTAGGGAAAAAAAAGGAGAGGAGGATAGAGGAAGAGAAAGCAGTGAGCGAGAAAGAGCGCAGTGCGTGAGTTCTATTGGTCAAGAGTGAGGACGCGTTCCTCCGTTCCTTCCGGTGAGAATCGCGCCGCATCATCGACGTTTCGCCGTGACGACCCGCTGGCGCTACCTCCTGGACCGATTTCGTTTGTCTGTCATAACCTTGAATCAAGATAACGTCCCAATGGCACATTGGTAAGTACCGTGACGATTAGAGGGACATCGTGCCTGCGAACGAGGCCTCGCGAACGAGGACTCGTGACTCCGAGGTGTCGGTTAATTGTGCGCCACACGGATATCCACGAACTTCCGGACACAAGGACGTTCTTCCGCGATCGGACGTGGACGTGAAGAAGGCTGTGAAGATCGCGCTGATTGCTTTCGCCGGAGCCTACCGCTAGACTTGCCGTCCAAGCGAGCTCCTGGTGATCACGAGCACCTCAATTAAAACGTGAAATCATGGCGCGAAACGCGAAAAGTGAACGTCCGCTCCTGAACTCGCGCACACAGTGAATCTTGACGCCGAATGCGCGCTCAGCCGATCACGTGAGGCGCTTCGCCGGGTTGATTTTCGTCTCGCAGACATCGACGTTGAGAATCACGTTCGCGTGAACGTGGTCATTTTTTTTTCGAAGGAACAACGTCACACAGGAAAGTGGATACGCGTATGCGTACGAGTGTGCATGCGCGTGTATGCGCGTGTACGTGCATCTGCGCGCGGCCGAAATTGTAGGAACAATACCGTGCCGGAAGTGGCGAATGGGTGGCCTGTACGACTGTTTGAGATGGAAGTGAGTAATAGCAGAGTAAAGTGACCGCTGTATTGGTCGTGATGATCATCGTACGGCCATAAACTGTCGCCCGTGTGATTCAATTGCTACCGCAAGCCGACCCAGCAGTAACGATGCATCACTACTACACGCAAGAAGACATAGATCGCGTCGGTAAGTATGGAATAAATAGGATATCTGTACATGTTTGGAGGCAACGTGACGAATATATCCAGCGAATTCCAACACAGTTCAATCAAAGTGAAATTCTACGCTTCTAGTTGTCAACGCGTGTTAGGGTATGCAATTTGTTGATTACTACTGGTTCTTCAACAATTATTTTCTCATTATCTCTCTTATAAATATATTAATCACCTTACACCACATATACACCCTTCTTCAACTTTATACACATTCTTTGAACTTTATACTAACGATGTTGCTCTTTTTAACCAAACAATTTGAAAGCAAAAACGACGCAGTTATCTATCGGTTTATTATAAGCATAACTTTTATAAACTATGCATAAGACAATATGGCTTGAGTCAAGAAGATAATATTTCATAACTACAATCACACAGAGTTTATCGATGACAATTGAACAGGCTCATATATCATAATCCGCATTGCGGATCTGATCCGATACGTTACTTTAGAAACTACTGGTCGAAACTGAATTCCCTTTCGCTTTTGAGGTATATGCTGTATTACGTGACATCGTAATACTGTATTGCAGTTTATACACGTAACTCCATTCAAATGCTTTTAGTGAAACTCTTATTCCGAGAGAAGACTTGCGATTATAATTATACGAAATGGGAAACGCTCTCCGAGTACGAATAAGAGCTCGCGTTGTTATTTTATAATGCGCATATGCTACGTAACACGTAGATAACGTTGCACAATGTATCTGACGTGAGATATATTCGTTCATTTTGTTGCGAGCGGGCACGAAGACACTATTCTCAACGTTAACGTGCCTATTTGGCAAATATATGCAAGTTAGATCCCAAGCGTACCGGGTGCCCCTTGTATTCAGAATTATATTAGGTCCTTCGGGCTTTCCGCGCTGGTCTTACCCGGAATTTAAATTGGACCAGATACGTTACGGGCGAAATGAGGGAATGAAATAAAATTCTTGGTACTATTCACCGGTTCAAAAACTTTAGGAGCACAATTCCGTCCGGGCCGATTATTCATAGGATTGCGGTCAAATGCGACTTGCTCATCCCTTACACCGCCTGATTGCTCTCATTAATTATTATATAAGTATTCATACGTCGGCATGATAATTTCACAGACACGTACGAGTAAAGAAAGACCAAAAGCATTAATTAAATTACCGACAATAAGGAGTCGCAACGATCTCATTCGCGATGAATGGACAGAAGAATCATGATCGCTGTCTTCGCAGTTTAACCACCCGCTAGTCGCGGCTTCTTGTGGAACAAAAATGGAAATTTCATTAAAGATTTTATTAATTAGGAAGGAAACTACATTTTTAAAAAACAATCTTTTATCATTTTTCACAATTTTATAGGTAGTTATTTTTGCAAGGAAGAGAGGAAAATGTAGCGCGTATTATTCTAACCTCCACTTTGTCCGAACCAAAACGTCGTTCAAAACCTCTCAGATGCCTGACTATCGAAAGGTTGACTCCTCATATGCAGTGGATAAAATCTTGTCACATGGTATCTCTAAGAAGGATTTGACCAATTCCAATATGTGGAAAAACTGACCTAAATACTTGGATAAAAATAATTCTCTTGCTCAAAGATATTATCCCCAGACCTTCATAATTATACGACATGAGACAATCGATGATGAAAGCTCTACAATCCTTTAAATTACATGAAACAAATATACGGTATCGAATAAATTCTAAGATTTAAGATTAAATATCACTTGAAGAGAGTGAAGTTCGATTTTAATTATGGTCTTGTCTAGATGAAAGTACTATGTAGTATTGCCTTCCGTCTCTGCTTCATCTATAATGCTCACAACTTCTGCGAAAACAAAACGCGTTTCTCACGTCGCCGCGCATCCTATGCCGCCGCGTATTTCACGCACGCGTCTTGCTTCATTATTTTAAAGTTTCAAGGCAAATCGCTTGCTAAATCTTTCGCGATTCTTATCGCGAAAGAGAAAAAGATCTTTGGGGATGTGGAAGCTCATCCGGATAAGACCAAAGGCATAATTAAAATTGAACTTTACTCTTTAAGTTTGTTTAATTTTAAAATTATGCCAGTGTCTCGTTTGGGTGGAAGTACCATGTAGATGATTAAAGCGCGACTTGTCGCTCAGGAACATTTATAACCTGAGGTAATACAGAACTAACGAGAACTAAGAATACGATGGATTCTATAAGATCCAGTAAAGAATTTGAGAATTCGAAACGAAGGAAGTATATGTTATGTAAAACATATAACATAAATATAATATTGCTTAAACGACACTTAAAATAAGAGAACGGAGTCATAAAAGTTTTCAGGATTAACAACAGGCCGATTATAAAAATTCGCGAAAGTTTGGGAATTATCCGACCAGCTCGCATTTCAGATTGCTTCAAACCCTTACACATACAACAATTTATTGTCTGTATTCACTGTCAGGTTTTACACAAGCGATAAATAAGTCTTTGCAGTATTATGAACGTGAGTCCTTATTAATCTTTAATACTCTAGAATATAAACTAGACAACTTCTCTAGAATGCTACCCTAAAATATAAACTATATAAACTATATAAAATATAAACTATATAAGAATTTAGACGATCAGGGAATTGAGAAAACGTAAGCAGCGGCTATGTACGTTCCGCAGCAGATGTTTTCATGCGATCCGGGATTCTAATGAGCTCAAGCTTGTCTCTTGAGAACGTAATTTGAGAAATGCTGATGGCTGTAAGGGCCTACATGCATTGTCCCGAGCCACAAGCTAGCAAAGGAATCAATTTTTTAGTTATTGTATCTAATATAGAATTATAAGGAAAATCTAGGTTCCATCAATTTGGAAATCACCGAGGCTGAGTCCCAAATAAAATTATAACGAGGTTTGATGATGTTAACCTCTTTGCAAAAACATCAATGAGTGATTGTCGATTCTCTTGTCCGAAATGAGGAAGATTGTCGAGCGAATTGTATTAAGTGAGTACAAATCGACATTCTGCAGTTCCTAAGTTAAGAACTCAGTTAAGGACTCGATTAATCTTCGGAAAAAAGAGAAAAATTAGTTGTTTATGACAAAAGTTCCACGATTCAAGGATCGAACCGGGCGAGCATACTGCCTAATCATAGTTGTAGCCAACGAGGCGAGAACAATGTCTAGTGATGATACCGTCTATGAGACTGGAAGGCTGCTCTGATAATTTTCTTACTAGAGAAAGGCTTCTCTACTCCGAGTGTTGGCTCCTAAAAGCCAAGATAATAGAGACTGGCATAGTAATAGAACAATCAGATCGATGACTAAAAGACGGAAAAAAAATAAGGAACCCTGGTTATCATAATAACCAAGATTCCCGTAACTTCATTGTCAATTATTTTGTATAGAACTTTAGACAATAGAATAAATGATAGCAATGTGTAGAAGTAAAAACTATGTTAATTTAATGTGATGCATCAATGTAATGCATCGAGTGCTCATGATCCTGGGTCGATAAACCAGAAAACAGAGATTTCGTCTTTGCTATTAATTATGCAAAAAATCCATATCAAAATGGCCAAATCTCCTTTTGATTAACCTGAACGTTTGTTCTGATTGACCACTCAGTGTCTGTATTTTGAGTGCGAGATTCGCTATCTGTAGCTGATTCGCTATTCTGTCAATAGAAGTATAAAATACTCTATTCCAACATTTCAAATCCTTTCTTAAATAATGAAGAAGGTACATTTGTCCGAAATAATCTTCCGAACAAGTTTCAAGACTGGAAATTTTTGTTTTTCAAATCTCTTGGTATGCAAAGGGCCGTGACAAACTGCCGAACACGCTGTCAGCAATGATCTGATGAAACTCGCAAACTCCTTGATAAAGCACTGTGATTTCTGCGACATGCATTAAACCAACGATAGAAGCCCTTGTCTCAAGTGAAATAAAAAACGATTTGAACAGAATCAAATGCGAAAAAAATACAAATTTACATTTTGATGAAGATTCGAGCTGAAATTTAAAATAATTTATGAGGAAATCCGAAGAGATATGTAAATAATTGTAATGACGTATAAATATTTTCCCAGCATTTTCTTTGTCTGATGCCCCTAAAAACAATAGATCGTCGAAGTAAATTATGAACTGGAAACCCTTTTCTCACAGTAATCTATCGGACGCACAATTTTAATAAAAATGTAAGGTGACGTGCAAAGGCCAAACGGCAAAGACGTGAACTTATAATAACTGCCTCTCTACTAAAAACAAAGAAATTTTCTATGCGGAAGATGAATGTGCTAGGAGGTGCGTATCTTCAATATCCATTGATTTTGGAGTTTGGAAGCATAAGTCAAACGTGCATCAATCCTTCATTTTAAAACGTAGGAGAGAGAGAGAGAGAGAGAGAGAGAGAGAAAGGTATGAATTTAAGTTACGTAAATTCAAAACAAAGCGCTTTCCGCCGAAAGATTTATTAACCAAGTACAAAAAAAGAGAGAGAAGAACTAAAAGCTCGACAACTAATATCGCGCCCTTCTGCTGTTTTATTTCCGTATCACAATATTCGACTACCGATGAGCTATCCTTTTCTGCACCGATGCAGAAAAGGATAGCTCCTTCAGAGATAGTCGAAGTGGGGATGATGTAGTGAAAGGAATTTTATAGCTTTCCACTGTCTCTAACAACCTAGAATCTGAGGTTATTTGCCTCCACTTGTCCACGAATAGGGCCAAGTAACCTGCGGTTACTTCTAGGTTATCTTTCCGGGTTTAACGGTGAATCCGTAGTCTTGAGCGGGGTGTGAACCTTTTGTTGCTGCTCAACTGGTGAGAGTTCCTCCTCGGTTAGCCAATGATTCTTACGAGGTGGGACTTTGGATTTTTGGACTTTGGTGAATGTTTTGATACGATTGGTTTATTTGCATTGGTAGTTATTGTGTTTTTATGATCATCTTGCGACCCTCTTAATGGCCCGATACTGACCTCCACGAAATTGGCTCCAAAGAGACCATCGTCAACGACAGTTACGTCTGATCTGTTTTAACTAAAAAGTTCAACGAGGAGACAATGAATACTCGCCTCGTTTGTAACAAGTGGTGGTCCATTAATAGGCGAATATCTTCCGCAATCTTATAAGCAGCAACTTTTCCCTCTGCTAATGCTTGCAGGACTTCAAATTTTGCAAGTTCTGAAAAATCGGAGCCGACAGCGTTCAGCGAAGCCCTTACCTAGGGCTGAGACTGCATCTGACGCTATTATCGAGAAATGACTGTATTGCTCAAGTTAGAGAGGATTTCTCCCTTGGTGGATTCATGAACAGAACTTCTTTTGGCTTGTATTTATTGAGAATGTTTCTCAACTCATCCCTAAAGCCCGAACGAACATTGACTCGTAGCGTCGAGAATAATCGGCACGATGCTACCGTGAGGACTTAAAGCTGTTCCCTAAGAAGTTCTAGGATAAAAAATATCCGCTGTCTTTTTGATAATCTTAGATTCGTCGATCACCATCATAACCTCGAAGTCGTTAACATTGCTAGTTTTCTCGAAACTGGATAATAAAACAACATTCCTTGAAGAAAGAAAAATGATATCTTCAGAGGAACATTCAGTTACATACTCTCCTTGCTGATTTGAGGGAAATATGGGTCAACAAGGAGACATACCTGCTTCGGCGCTCCGGCCGCTAAGGATCGTCTGTTACTCTGCATATCTTTCAGGAGCGAGAGAGACCTCCTCTGAGTCAGACAAGGAGTCTTCCAAAGGAACCAGATTCGCTGATCTTTCAGGCTCCTTCGGAATCCTAATGAACACAGGGACTTCTCGACTCTTTATAAAGTCAAAGAACTCATTAAGAGTTCCTATTAGCTTTGCTAGCGAGATGCTCGGTGTGAAGTATCCCTCCGCCTAATCAGTGACCACCTGGGGAGGTTAGGTAATATTCTGTGCTTCCTTGTAATACCTGAGACTCCTTTTCCTCGAAGAGCTCGATCAGCGATTTCTCGAAGAACTACAATGGCCTAGGCATATTGTATGGATTATTGTCTTAAACTAAAACTTTTAATGCAAAAGCCTGTTGACTCCGCATGAATAGAAAAAATAATGAAACTAGGTACGTGCACGTCAGCATGAGATACATGATGACGTAGGTGTGCAACGACGTGGGAAGCATAGAGTTTTGTTTTGACGAGAACACACTGTTGATAAAGCAGGGACAGACAACAATATTATAGAGTACTTCCATCCGCACAAGACATTAGCATAATTATGAGATTATACAATACATTACATTAACAATAATTTAAATTTTTTCTTACATTGATGTAATAACAAATTTACTAACAGTCTCACTCAGATTGTTATATTACATTTTATGACATATTGTTTTGGACAAATTTTGATCGTTACTTCGTTCGTCTTTTATTTCATTATTCTATGTGAGAAATATGAGTGCCATATGAACTCACAAGAGGTGTAACTTTTGCAGGTCGACTAGTAAAGTTGCCAAAAATATGTATTGTGGGTTGCAAAATAGTCTAGACATATTACGTTGGGAGCTCAACAAACTGTCAAAATTGAAAGTCATTATGACGAACTTAGCAACAGTAATAATACCATTAAAAATATTAAATAATAATAAGAATAATAATAATTCATAATAATAATTAATGATATAATTATTGGGCAAGTCCGTCAGAAATAACTTTCAATTTTGACAGTTTGATCTTATAAATTATGATCCTTCGTCTGTAAAAGTAAATAAGTTAGCTATAATAGAATACAACAGGTTGCGAAATCAGTATAGACCAGATCTTACAAATATTTATATTTCAAAACAACGCCTTAAAAAAATGTCTGATATAGTTTGGGCAGTTACAAAAAATATTTTAGAATGTCAATTTAATGATAATAATACTATAGATAATACTTTGTAGAAATTTAAAAAAAAATTATATTCTATTGCTTCGTTCTATTGCTGAAAATTTGAAAAAGTCATACATCTTATAAGAATTAATACAATATAATTTTGGGTGTTGGAATAACTTTGAAAAATTATGCACTAATTGTGGGATAAACTCTGCAATCAAAAAAATTGATATAATGACGGCGACAAATATTTTCATTTTTCAACTGCAATTATTTAAAATCATTAATACGAAAATGTGGAAGACTACAAATTTGAATGTTAAAGAGAAAGATACAAATAATAAAAATTAAGTATAAAATTATCAGTGCAATTTTCCACGATAGTGAAAACATACGCAATGGATATTAATAAATAATTTGAAAGTAAAAAAATCTACTTGACCACAAAATGCTAAAAACGCATATATATTCTTCGCGGAACAAATATAGTAAAATTTTTGCTAATTCATGCAAAAAGCTGTGATATCATAAAAACCAAAAGAACCTTACAAAGGTGAAAAATACGGCAAGTACATAAAGACGAATAAATAATATTTGACAAAAACCCTCCATAAAAACCTAACAAAAACTTCCATTAAAATCCCCCAAAAAGGTTGTGTAAAGGTTGTCAATCTAACAAAACATTTTTATCCAAAAAATTATAAAGAAAAACTCAATCAAAACCATAAAAATCTAACAAAACTTTTTGTAAAGACAACAGAAAATAACAAAAACCCTCCATGAAAACCCCAATTAAAAATTCCTATAAAAATTTTTGTAAAAAAATAACCTAACAAAATATTTTTATCCAAAATATCATAAAGTCGCTATCGACACATGAGTCAATCAAGATCGGAAGTACGTAAATGTCAAATACGATAAAACGCGAATGTTTCAATTCTAGATTTAGTACCCTCTTCAGCGTAATTCTCGAGAGATTACCACAAATATACACGGTGGTCCGTGAGTTATAGCCTTGAATGTTTGACAGAAGAGGGAGAATCGTATATATAAACAGAACACGTCGGTCCACTGTTCAATTGACGTTAAACGTCACTTACAAGTTATTCGCGTGTAGTTTCTGAAATCAGACATGTGTGTGATACGTATATATTTTATTTTTCGGTGACCAATAGAATTAATTATTTTTTTATTTTTCTCCTAGAAATTGACTATTTCCTTTTTGATGCTGCTGCAGTTGCTATCAGCATGCCGGTGTGTCGAGGAAGATAAAACGTATAATGTTTCTACAATTCAATGATTTTCTGAAATATGTTAACCATCGTCCGACGACATCAGCTATCGAATTAGTATGCCGTACCAAATTGCCATCTGTACATAGTTGTTCGCGTTATTAATGCCTATAACCTTGATATTAATATACAGCGGTGGAAACGGAATTTCCTGTTCCGATTTGTCGCGATACATCGTTCCGGTGCCGATTTGGAGGTTGCTCAGCTTGTAAATACAGTACACGCAGATTAGCTCGCTTTCTGTACTATGTGGATCTTTTGGATCGACGCGAAGATATTTCATTTGTCTTTACAAATTTGGATAATGTATGCTATGCTATTCGAGGCATGAATGAAGATTGCTCCAATGTAAAGAATTGGTGGGAGATCAATCTGAACATCAATCCTTTGTTGAGAGCGTGCGACTTTGCGGGCAATGTAAAATGTTTCGACAGTTGGACAACTTGACTCGATGGTGACGTTGGCACGTGATCGTGGAGTAGCACGTAGTTCATGCGGTAAGAACGATGCATCTTCAGTATCTTCACCAAAAATTGATCGGACAATTTGGACGATGCATTTCATCAAAGATGCGTCTCCATATTTTTCGGCACTGTAAACGACCTTTAATCTGGAATAAAATTATTTCATAAAGGACCCCGCATAAATCTTATGGAAATTAAATTTCGGTCGAATTGACTGAAGATTCAATATGTTGCAGATCTTGTCGTCCTGATAAAAAGTCTCTACAGGTACGATTGCAGGGGTGCAATGAACCGTTTGACCTCTACGAGGCGTCATTTTTCAAAACAAGCTAATAGTACAATGTCTTATTTTCAACGGTGCATTCCTACATCATTATTTGTACTTTCTATGTATTTTTTTAAGTAAAAAGTTATAAAGATATTATTGACTTTATTGCTTCTTACAAAAAAGTTATAAAGATATCGAGGTCAATAACTTGATTTTAGAGATTTAAGTCAATGCTGTGCTTCATGTCTAGGGCGGGAAAAGAAATGGACACAATCATAGGGTGCATTCAAAGAACCGCTTTATTTATATTGAGTAGGCCGTGCGTTGTGAGAGGCGAGGGGACTCACAATAATCAAGCACTCTGACTTTTGAGAAGCAATCAAGTCAATATAACTTCCCTTTTTATCCTTATAACTTTTTACTTAAAAAATATATAGAAGTACAAATAATGATGTAGAAATGCACCGTTGAAAATAAGATATTGTAGTACAGTATGTTTGATAAGAGCGTGTACGGCAAAACTCAAAAACTTAGGATAATACATAAATTGAAAAAATTTGTACACATTATGCATGATATAGACTGCGATGCTTTATTATTAATAAGTTGTCCAGTCGCCTCCATTATCAATAATTGACTGGCATCTCCGAGGCATACTTTCTACTA